CTCCCCATCCTTTGTGCAATGATGACGATCGCGTTCGAACTGGAAGCCAAAAGAAACGCGCACGGCAAAGAAGCCGTCGAGAAAGATCGCTTTGGGGCGAGTGATGTTTTTAAGCGAGCGCCTGTTAGGGCTCACAACGCCCTGCCCATTATTTCTTTTTTTTTTGAGACTCCCTAATGTCAGCTGCGGTCAGAATTTTGAGCTCCGGCAGGTTTCTCATCTTCTGCGTTAACGGCCGTGCCTCCCACACTTCACAAGAAAGGTCCCACCCCACACCTCCCCAATGTGTTTAACCTTTAACTCACCGTTGGGTCAAGTGCTGTTCAGGCCGACACGAGGCACGCGTAATCACAACAACGACGACGACGATAATAGCCGACAATCGCCGCTAACTGGCGGTGACGTCGCCGCGGCGCTCGCGCCAGGCTAGGTGTGCATTTTGGGGAATCTCACGTGAGCGTCAGGAGGGTCGCGGGACAGAGACCCTCCAACCCGCCCCCCCCCCCCAAGAGCTGTGAATTGATCGCCCGAGATGGCCGTCAGATGCTTCCACCTGTGGCACCTTCACCACTTTGCCTATCCTTCCTACAAAGGGAAAATAGGGGTGGGGGGGGGGGGTGGCATCGCTACATCGCCCTCGCTCCGGACGCTCCCACCGTTCAAGTCTCCTCCGTTCATTGTCGCCTGCACGGCGCATTTCACGTGAACGCTCCTTCCTGCGTGCGGCGTTCGCCACGGATGCGCGCACGCGCGCACAAAGTAGTGTATGACATCCGTTCTTCTGTGCACGCGTGGAGGGATGGCTTCCCGATAGACGACGTGCAGTGATGGTGTAACTCAGCGCTGGCACAATGCCTCGCCTTTCACCGCCAGAAACTATTCGACGCAGTGCGGTCCGCCTATTCAGGTGCCTTGCCTTTGTCGGATTGCACGCGTGCGCAGATTTTTGCCGCTGATGTCCTTGGTGCTCGTGTGCCGGCAAGCATCGAGAGTTCCAGCGTGGTTTGTCCACTGCTGGATGATAGCCTTCATCCCCAGCCCACGCTCCTCTTACCGCGATTTCACTATGCAGCGATCCACCGCAGAACCCCCCCCCTCCCCCCGACCCCATCTGCAAGCAAAGGGATGCTCTCGGAAGCCGTGCGTTCCCTGGCCCGCCCGCTCCGGCGGCCGTTCCGGTGCCGCGACGCGTCCTGCCAGAGAGGCCCCGCTCATTTTATTCTCTCTCTCTTTGTCTCACAACGTAGTCCCAAGCCTGCAACCATCCCCATGCTTAATGTGACGGGTGGGGTGGGCCGTTTGCATTGTCGCGGAGAACACTTGGTTGGCTGGCTGGCTCGGTCGCTGGCTGGCTCGCTGGCTGGTTGGTTGGCTCGCTGGCTCGCTGGCTCGCTGGCTGGCTGGCTTTTTCGGTGGCTGGCTGGCTCGGTCACTGGCTGGCTCGCTGGCTCTCTGGCTGGCTGGCTCGCTGGCTGGCTGGCTGGCTGGCTCGCTGGCTGGCTGGTTGGTTGGCTTGCTGGCTGGCTGGTTGGTTGGCTCGCTGGCTGGCTGGTTGGTTGGCTCGCTGGCTGGCTGGCTCGCTCGCTGGCTGGCTGGCTCGCTCGGTGGCTGGCTCGCTCGGTGGCTGGCTCGCTCGTTGGCTGGTTGGCTTGCTCGCTGGCTGGCTCGCTCGGTGGCTGGCTGGCTCGCTGGCTGGCTGGCTCGCTGGCTGGCTCTCATGCCTCCTTTTAAAGCAACCGACCTGCCGGGCCGCGGTGGATTGCCGAGCCCGGCCCGGGAACAGCGAAGTCCCTTCGTGGCGAATGGCGGTTGTTGTTCTTGTTGGGCAAAATCCTTCAATGACCGCATTTTATATTTATGAATTTTTTGTCGCCTCCACCGCCGCCCCAGTCCTGGCCACATCTGCGTTTTTAGAAACGAAAATGAAAAATGTTGCCTGTGGGATAAGTTAAATGCAATCGTAGTTGCTTTATTGATCTTTCCACTTATGAGTTTCTGTGTCTCAATTTTTTTTGTTTGCCCTGAAGGGACAAGTTTTTCAGAGAAAGCTGTTTGTGAAAATCTGGTTTTGCCACTTGCGAAATCCCTCCCGCTTGCGTGAAACAATGCTCACAGCGCCCCGCCCCCCGTCGGTGCATGGATTGTAATTTGCACGAGCAAGGGGGCATCGTATAGCTGGTGGCAGGGGGGGAGGGTTGTAATCTCGGGGAGGGGGGTAATCTCGGGGAGGGGGGTCACCGTTCAAATTGTGTCAGATTGGGGAAAAATGACACCGCACATTACTTGCTTGGGATTATATAATAACTATATAATGGTCGCTCACATACTCCGGAGACTTGGCAGGACCCTCCTGAAAGGGGATTCTTGAGACCCGGTGTGGTTCTTCTGTGGAAATAAGCGTAGTGGTAATGATATATAAATAAAACAAAATCTTTATTGAAATTATTTTAATTTGTGTTGACATTGTGGTACTGATGGGCGACAAGGTCAAACATTTCACCGAGCAGCGCTTATGATGATAATAACAACAGGTTATTAACCTGCCTTATTCAGCAACCTGCACTGGTGAAGTATGGTCAACTAATCCCCATGATCGATTGCAGTATGGGAAGGCCCTATCCAGCAGTAGGTTATGGCAGAGGGTTGTGTATCCTGTTATCTAATGTTAATATATAATGTTATATATATTGTGAAAATAATTGCAGCTTTTATAAACCCCTTAGCTGTCAACCCATGCGGTTTAACCCCGTATTCTTGTACAGGGAAATTGAGTCAATTCTAAATTTGAAGTTTTCGTGACTGCAAGGATTCATACTCTTTGTTTTTTTCGGTGAAGTCACGTAGATAAAAAATGTAAATAAATTAAATCACGACGTTTAAGTGTGTGCTTTCGCTAAGTTATCCCCACCTGAAGAAGGACGCTTGTGTTGTGCTCGAAACGTCGTGATTTAATTTATTTAAAAAATTTTTACCTACGTGACTTTACCGAAAAAAACAAAGAGTAGGGAAATTGAGTGTTCAGGTCCATACGGCGAAACGGCCGCGTCAATACGGGAAACAAAGAATAATGATGCGGCCAAATTAAAAAAAAAGTCGTGGGACAGATTTTTTTTGTTTTTCTACTCTGGAGAGTGGCGATCCCCGCAGCAGCTGACAAATTTGATCTGAAATTAAGACGCTCTCGGTACAGATTGTACGCACAAGGTACATCTCCGCATGCGGTTTTCCAAACGTAAGTCACCGCCACAGCACAGCGACAAGCGTTACCTCCTGCAGCGAAGAAGGCGAAGCTAGCGATGCCGTTGTGCATTCACAACATGAGTGTGCGTCCGCGTCAAGCAAGCGGCAGCATCAGCATACAGGGTCGCATAAGGTAGCATGATGAGTAGCCCATTGACACCACTTATCGAAATTAATACGTAAAATGTTTTTTTGTTTAGTAACATAATTGTTTTCTTTTTGTTTCTCCCTTGTGATGGGACTTTGTAGGATGAAGATTGAGATTTATAAGGGAACGGGATGACCAATAAAGGTCTGCATTGGTCTGTAATAGGGGAGGCACTGATAAGTGGTTGACAGGTTTGTAAACCAGAGCCTGGGAGATGCAAGAGGTTGGCGGATCGCGGGCGAGTGCGATTGTGAACCCGTCCGTGCGGATGCGTTTCTCTTTGTGCGGTGGGTTTTCTCCGCTTTTCTCCCGCACGGAGCCAATGTATTTACCATGGGCGGCATGTTCGTGGTGCATCCAGCCCACCCGTGTCCCACTGGCAGGACCCCCTTACCGTAAGAGAGTCTACGGAGAGCTCTGGAGAGCCACGTCAGAAATGGCACCTCGGCCGAACTCTTTAACACCGACCCAATACGGTCTCGGGGAGAGGTGGACGTGCCCACATTTTACCCCACCGCCGACGCGGAGCCCTGGTGGTCGACCGAGCCAACGTGTATGGGCACTTGGCTGATTAATGCAGGACGCTCATAACGAAGAGTCCTGAGACTCAGCGATGCTATCCCCGAATTAAAAATAATGGCGTTATTATTATAATTAGTTAGTGTTTGCTGTTGGGGGGTCGGGGGGTGGGCGGCGGCGTTGCCACTGGAATACGTTATCAGGTCGCATGCATCACACACAAGTGCTTGCCGAAAATGAAACATTTCAACCTCGATTTGAAGCTTTCGTGACTGCAGGAACCCATACTCTTTGGTTCTTTCGGTCAAGTCGCGAAGGTATAAAATAAATCGCGCAACACAAGCGTCAGGTGATGACGGACGCTTGTGTTGCGCCCGAAACGTCGTGATTTATTTTATTTTTTTACTGATCTCGTCAAGGAGCATAAAATCCATCGTCGCGCGAACTCCGGTCACCCTCGCAGCGACTTTGGGCTAGCCCATCGAACAAAGATGGTCGCCCGATCCCGCGCTTTCAGATGCGCGCTTCTGCGGCCGTCTGGAACCTTCCTTCCGATATTAGGAAGCCACTGGGGCTATGCACTTTTAAATCATCGAGATTGAAAATTCATTTCTTTAGATATGCTTTTTGCGTTTTAGTTTGTTGGCCTTCCCCCGCTGCCTCCTATTAGCTACGGCTGGCTTCGTACAGTGCGAAAATTAGTTTGACATGCATACATACAAATACAACCGGTCAACCGACTTACCTGAGCGATGCCATCTGCCCATAGGGACCATCACGACACGTGCGCTCATTCATGCCAATGGCATCCCGCAACGCCGTACATTAATTATGTATAAAGACCGGATCCCATATACGCGGTGCGAAAACAGTTCAACGTACATACATTTGTTAAGGCCGTACGAATGGCAACGTCGTCTTTGTGGGATCAGGCTGGGACTGAGCGAGCGGTGCGGTGCGGTGCGTGAGTGTTCCGTGTTCGCCGGCACGGCGTGAAAGCAGTTCACCGTACATACATGCGTATGTTAGGGCTCTGTGGCATCGGGCTGGGACTGAGCGAGCGAGCGGTGTGTTCCGTGTTCGCTGGCGGCAGGTGCGCCCGCGGGACATCGTGCGGATCGTGCGCGGGCGGCTGGAGGAGCGGGGCATCGCGGTGCGCGACGTGCGCCTCAACGGCTCCGCCGCCAGCCACGTGCTCCACCACGACAGCGGCCTCAGCTACAAGGACCTGGACCTCATCTTTGGCGTGGGCCTCACGGGCGAAGCCGAGTTCCAGCTCGTCAAGGTGCACGTCACACCACGTCATCCCCACGCCCCCCCCACCCCACCACCCCGGCAGCGATGCGGCGGTCCGTTGTGTTTCCCCGTCGCACGCAATGCGATTTTTGTTTTTTTTTTCCCCCCACGTGCTCCTCCTCCCACACGTATAACGCCGATTAATCGGCCGATACCAACTCAACATGTAGAGGACCGCAGAGCTTGGGCAGTTGTTGGTAGCGCCTGCTCGGCATCGCATCGCTGCTGCTGCTGCCTTCCCGCTCATCTGTGGTTCCTCCTTGCACCTCCGAGTCATCCCCTCTCTCTCGCGCTACGAGAGCCAGGGGGGGGGATACTGTACAGCGGTGGTGCGTTACAAGTTGACTCTTGACATGAAGACCATTCTCAACGTGTGCCACTGTGTATGTGCTGCAGCCCCTCGTAATTTTTTTGTAATTAATCGGTTAATTAAAACACACATTTTCGTTGTTGCAATAGTTTATTTAATCCAGCAGTCATTATGGGACCGCTATGCGTCGTTACACCCCAGCGCCGTTGACTCTGCCGTGTTTTTTGATGAGAGAGTGCCAGACTAACGCTACCACTGTACCCTCCCCTACCCACCACATGCACTACCACCACCACCACCACCCACCTTCATCATCACAAACACCACCTCCACTAACAATACCACCACCATCACCACAACCTGCCAACCCTGTCCACCATCGCTTCTTACGTTCGCCGTCAATTATCACCACCTCTATTAACATCACTACCACCACCACCGCCACATTCATCGCCACCATCAACCACCGCAACCGACCTGACCTACTGCCACTGCCACCAAACGCCTACCGCCCCCCGCCTACCGTCGCCGCCTCCGCCGCGCACAGGAAGTGGTCCTGGACTGCCTGTTGGACTTCCTGCCCGAGGGCGTGAGCAAGGAGAAGATCGGGCCACAGACGCTGAAGGAGGCGTACGTCCAGAAGATGGTGAAGGTGTGCAATGACACGGACCGCTGGAGCCTCATCTCGCTCTCCAACAACAGCGGCAAGAACGTGGAGCTCAAGTTCGTCGACTCGCTGCGGCGGCAGTTCGAGTTCAGCGTCGACTCGTTCCAGATCGTCCTCGACTCGCTGCTGCTCTTCTACGAGTGCTCCGAGCACGCCATGTCGGAGCGCTTCCACCCGAGCGTGCTCGGCGAGAGCATGTACGGCGACTTCGGCGAGGCGCTCGAGCACCTGCGCGGCAGGCTCATCGCCACGCGCAACCCCGAGGAGATCCGAGGTGCGCGCTCGCGTCTCCGCGTGTGCGTGCGCGCGTGGGTTGTGGTAGTGCAGCGGTTGGCGCGTCGTGCTACGAACCCGGCAGTCCTTGCTCGCGGCCGACGCCAGTGACGATTATCTGAACCAGTCCTGGGCCTGGGCCTCCCCTAGGTCGACTCGGCCTCAAGTCGAGTACCTGGTTGCGGTGTGTGAATATCGCCACCGGGGAGACTAAGGCGGCCGGGCGTCGTTTTGGCAGCACCACCACCCTCGTGTGCCATTCCGGCCTCCGTAGCTGTTTGCTAACGGCACTTGCCCCCGGCAGCCTGCGAAGTGCATACAGCGGGGGTGAGTGGGTTCCTGTTTGTGCGCGCGTACATCTGTGTCCCGCGTGCCTTGCGTGCGTTCACGCATGAGCACCGTGCGATACAAAACGCTTCCTAGCCCGCCCGCGAAAAACTGCCTGGCCACCGAGCCTAACGATAAAAAATGTAGGCCGCGACCTCGTCAATAATAACGCTGCTCCTGCTGCAACCAAACCGCGTCGAGTTTGTCCGACCACCACCACCACCACCGCCGCCAGCGAAAACCGCACGGGGGTGGTGGGCGGGGGGAGGAGGGAGTTCCCTCGCACGTCACAACGCTGTTCGTTTCCTCGGAGCTCTCTGCGTCACGCTGGGCCACGTGCGCGCGTCTGTCCACGCGTCGTCCACGCGGCGACGCGTTGGGAGTCAACGGCGGCGCTCTGGTTTCTAACTCTGGGGTGCGCGCCGCAGCCACGGCTCCTGGACAAACGAAGCGGTTAGCCCCGCGGGGAACATTGAGGGTCGCGTGCGACCGCCGCCGCCCCCCGTTAGACCATCGTTGACCGGACATTGATGAACCTTGGCTGGGACAGAAGGTCCGGTCAACGGGGCTAGCGGCGGCTCTAGGTTCACAGATGTCCAACCAAAAGAACTATTTAAACAAATTTTTTTATTTTATTTTACCAGGTTATCAGGCCCACTGAGCTGTATAGCTCTTTCAGATGCCACCTGGCTACAAAGGATAGCTCAACGAAGTGGCTTATCATGTGGAAACGTATAGAAGCCAAATACTCTAAAACGCCCATTGATTTTAAATGTGGAGGTTCTCGGGGAAAAATTAACTTCAAATGTACAAGTCATATTGGATCGAAACTTTAACCTCCTGTATACCAGGCAAGGGAATTAACATCTCGCCACCGTGGCACCGACTGGACGTCTGTGAAAGAGAACTTTGTAGCTAATCGGATTCCTTCAGAATAAATAAATATTCTGATTCTGAGTGATGCCACCCATCGGAGTGAGTGGGTTGGCCCGAGTCCTGGGCCCCCTGAGCGATGCGTGTGCTGGGGCGGGCACAGGGGCGTAAGTTGACTGGGTACGAAATCGCGTTGGAATTTTCACCGTGATTATTATTTACAGTAAACCCTCGTTTATTCGACACATATGGGGCTCTGGCCTTGCCAAATTATCCAATTATTTCCGAACTATTTACAATAGTGCTCCCCAGTGTCTCCTGCCCCAATAAAAAAAAAATACAAATTTGTTTTCCAAACTCTTCACGCACAACCTGCATCGTCAATTCTATACAAAACTTTGGATTTGTCTGTCGCAGACGAAGGGATTTATACTTCAGTCCCTTTCCATTAATTCTTTATGTAGGCCTAGAGGACGTGTCTGAGAGGGTTGGCTTGCACAGAGTGCATAAGCAAAGTAAAGTCAATAGCAACGGGGCCTGCACTAACGCTCGCCACGCGCTCCGCCGCTAGACTGAGCCATTGTTTTGGCCGTGACGCACGGCGTTGCTCCACGTGTATGCCGAAATTGGACCATTCGCTTAGGGAATTCGGCTTGTGACGAATAATAGAAGGTATATGCCGAAAATGCAGCCGTGCCGAATGATCCCCAATTACGAATGATCATATTACCGAAATAACGAGGTTTTACTGTACATACACACGTGTGCCGCCTACATTACGGTCTTGAGTTATAATGGTCGTGGTGATTCACTGTTAGATATTTTTGTAGGTCTTTCTCACACTCCTCCAATTTAGCACCGGTTGGCTACGTACGCTTGCGACAGAATTTGGAACATCGTACGTGAATCGGTGCGCAGCTGAAGCAGTAGTCGATTGGCACATTTGTTCAACTTTATTAATTGGCAGTGTCGGTCGGAGGAGGGTTTACGACACCCACGCCCGACTGCCTTTTGTCTCCTTAGTCGCGGTGTTTACAAACCGCATGAGGTACTCCGTTGGAGCAGAGTTGACCTAGCCGGAGGCCTGGGACGGCTTCGGATAATCGTCACTGGTGTTGGCCGTGAGCGGGAAATCAAACTCGGGTGGCGTGCCGGGTTGGGAGCGCAAAATGAGTTGGCCTTCCTGAATAACAAGTCTGGAGGCTCCGTGAGGCCCTGCTGGGTAACAGACTTGCCGACGTTACTGCGAGGCGTCGGGAGGAATAAGCCGCGCTTCGGGAATCTGCCCGCCCTTCGAATGTCGACGTCCGCGCCTCGCTCCTCCGGCCAACGCAGGCCGCCCTCGCTCCTTGTCCCACCGGGTGGGGGGGGGGGGGGGACACTTGAGAGGGTGATGCAGTGCCCGCGACATGACCTGCCGTGCAAAAGAGCTTTGTAGCTCATCGGATACCTCCGGTCTAAATTAATGTTCCGATTCGAATTGTGACCTCGGACGACGTCTGGCGAAGAGAGGAGAGGAGCGCGGCTCTCTCCCTGCGTTGTTGTTGTTTATCTTTTATTGTTGTTTGCGGTGAGCTGCCGTCCGCCCTCTGACCCCCGCCGTCGCCACTGCCGTGATCCGGTCGTCTGTGGGAAAGAGTGCTTTGTAGCTCATCGGATTCCTGCAGTTTAAATAGGTATTCTGATTCTGATTTCGGCAGTATCGGCGTTAAGTTCAAGCCGCCCCCACCGTGTGCGGCGTTTTCCACGGCCGTCGGAAGCCGGGCCGTGACGCACCGTACCAGTCCTGGAACCGGCCCCTTGCCGCTCCTGCGTTCAGACCCCCCCACGGCGAGAGGGAATCGACCGTAGTACATTTTTAACGGGTTTCAAGGTACGCTTGGGTTGGATTGCGCTGTCCCAAGGTGTATCGTCTTTTATTTCGTAATAATCAAAAACGCAGCCCAGGTGTTGACTGCGGCGTTAGATGATGATGACGACGATGACGATGATGATGAGAATCCCGACGATGACGACGACGATGACGACGATCAACATCGTTCCTCGTGACATCGCCAACCTGTTTCCTATGGGCGGCCTGATATTAAAGCCCCGGCCGCTCGGACCGCAAACGGAGAGCCGTGCGGCGCCAAGGACCGACGAGTGAACGGGCGCTGAGCCCCCCCAACCCCCTCCCCCCGGTTCACTCCCGAGCGGTCGTCTGATGGATGCGACGTTGAGAGTATCCACATCGCTCATCATGGTGGGGGGAGCGGCGAGTGGGGAGCCAGCAAAGCAGCGCCTGCGGGGACTGGCCTCACAAAGTCCGGTTCGATTCACTGGAATAGCGGGGGGTCCTGTATTTGGGAAATTTCATATGGAAATACATAATTTTCGACTTCCCAAAAGTCCACGTGGGCAGCTGACTTTTACCATCCGTCTGCCGCCGCTGCTGCTGCTGCTGCGTCGGTTTTCACGGTCGCGCTGCTCCGTTGCGGTCACAATGCGTGTTTCGATGTCCGACGTTTCGCTGCACATGCTTGTAAACGTAACGTGGACTGGTGGAACATGGTGGGTGGGGGGCTTAGGTGGCAGCTATCACCACCCCCAATTTTCTGAATAGGGGTAAGCAATTAACTCTAACCCCGCAACTAGTATTGATCAGCAGTAAGTCTTATCAGCAAGCAAACCGTGGAATCGTTTGATATGTTCGTAGTCTCGTCGGTTGTTGCTTGAACCAACCAACTCTGGCATTTCTGAAGCGCCCTTCCCAACGTCCCGGCTCTGGGTCCACGGAATTCTGCGTGGCGGCGGGTGAGGGAGGGGGGCAGGGGGAGGGGGGTGAGGGGACGCTAGGGGTAGGGGGGGAAGGCGGTCGTCGCCAAGTTGGGAGTGAGGGAGGAGAGCGGGCCAAGACGCCGACAGACATCTGGGCCCGACATTAGCACTCGCGTTCTCACAAAGCGGCTTGTGTCCGCCCAACGTTATTATCTTATCGGGGCTAAGGAGTTTTCAAGGTCTCCCCTTCCCCCCACCCCTTGCCTTATGAATCGTTTAGCTGTTTGGGCCGCTTGTCAAAGCGACTGCGTTTGTCCGACGCCAAACGGACGTTTTCTAAATCCGGACGCGGCTGCGGATTCGGGTTGGGCACTCTGCTTCGGGGTGGGGATTCTCGACGACACCGGCGTCGGGGGGGGGGGAGAAACTATCCGGATCGCGACCTTTGCGCGACCGTGGATTTTTCTCCCCCCCCCCCCCCTTTTCCCTCCCCATGGGTGTCACAGAAGCACGCTCGCAGCACCGAGTCTGTCTGGATGCTGCTCAACAGGAAGCGGAGAGGGCGCCGCTATTTTCTTAATGGCAACGTCTGAAAGAGATAAATTGGTCGAAATGTTTGTGTTGGGGCTGAGCGAGCGCGCACGTGTGTGGCTGTTTGTGCCGAGCCGGCCGAGCGAGCGCAAGGGGGGGGAACCGTGCATTTTGAGTATCAGCGGGGAAAATAAACCGCTTGCGGTTCTAAAAAAATATATAGATTTTTTTTTAAGCTAGATCTCGTACGCGTGGACCGGAGGTCTGTAGTTCTGTGATATCCGCTTCTGTGGGGGGGGAGGGGGGACCGTTCTGGAACGCGAAAGAGTCGCGCAGTAGCTCCGTGAATGTTTGCCGTGTTTCGTGATGCGACGCCGATTTAGTCTAAGTTTTAAGTTACGAACAATTAAAATATTTTGCCCCCTTCGTCAAACGGTGACCTCCGGGTGACCCTGACGACCCTAATTTGAAACTCGCTTTTAATTACCACCCCGGTTACGTCCGCGATGAGACCATTGGCGTCCGTTGATTAACCGTTCACTCGAGCCTGATTTTAACAAGAAATATTTGCGCGTAGGCAGCGGCGCTGCGGTTGCGACCTGCTTACGCTGGCAGGCAACTTTGCGCGCAACACAAATTCGCGCGAACGCCTGTAGCAGTTTTAATATTTATATCACAGTTATGCGGGCACGCCTTTTTGTTAATGCGGCATCATCATTCGCGCACGCCGCGCGCGGAATTCGTAACGCGTACGGATTCCTCGCATTGGGTGGGGTTGCGAAGGTGGGTGTTAAGGCAGCCAGAACCAAGACTCGCCGACAAATTTCCTCCAAGCTCTGTAGTCCCTAGAGTCCTACATCGCGACGGTTTTTTTCTTTCTTTCTGCCGCCGCTCACAAAACTTACTCGTCGCCCTCTGTCCTCCGCTCCCCCCCGCCCCCTCGCCCGTTATGCAGGCGGCGGCCTCCTCAAGTACTGCAACCTGCTGGTGCGCGACTTCCAGCCGGCGTGCGAGCAGGAGATCAAGACCCTGGAAAGGTACATGTGCTCGCGCTTTTTCATCGACTTCCCCGACATCTCTGAGCAGGAGCGCAAGCTCGAGTCGTACCTGCAGAACCATTTCCTGGGCGAGGAGGGCAGTAAGTACGACTACCTGCTCACGCTGTGGGGCGTGGTGAACGAGAGCACCGTCTGCCTGATGGGGCACGAGCGCCGGCTCACCCTGGGCCTCATCACGTCGATGGCCTTCCGCGTCCTCGCCGAGCAGAACGTCATCCCCAACACGGCCAACGTCACCTGCTACTACCAGCCGGCGCCCTACGCCAGCGACTTCAACTTCAGCGGCTACTACCTGCCGCCGCCGCCGCAGCACGCCCTAGCCTACGTGCCGTCGTACCACCACCAGCAGCACCACCACCAGCAGCAGCAGCACCACCACCAGCACCAGCAGCACCAGCAGAACCAGCACCAGCAGACGTGGCTGCCCTGCAGCTAACGCAGCCGGGTGACGCCCCCACCGTGATGCCCGCCCACCTGCCCGCCCGTCTGCCCGCCAACCCCGCTGATTGATGACGGACCTCAACAATTAACCTCCCACTTCTTTCCCCCCCGGACCAATGCCGTGATACAACGCGGTCTTTTATTTTATTTTTTTTCCTTCCCCGTGCCTGCCCCGATTTCCTGATTCTACCCCCCCCCTCCAACCCCCATCCTCCACTGCCACTCCATAGGTGCCTGTGCAAAAAGCGGCTGTCTCTCCGCGCCGTGTTTGTGGTGGTCGTTGTTGTTGGTTCCTCTCTTCCATTTTACGTCTCTCGGTAAGACGGGCAAAGCAGCAGCAGCAGCAGAGGCGGCAGCGACATTAAGAACTGTGCGCGTTTGGCAGCACGAGCCCCCCACCCCCCCCTCCCACCCCCCTTCATTGAACCGAGATTCCAGAACTGCATGCACCGAGACTTGCACGCGCGCACACACACACACACGCGCGACCGCATGAAAATGGGCGAAGCGTGACGAGCAGGAGAAGATACTGGGTGGTTTTGCCCGCCGCGCTGCTTTCCACGTGTGTACATACGTGATCCAAGGCTCGCGACGCTTGTGCTGGAGGCCAGAAAAACTTCCGCGGGCAAGTTGCGGGATGGTAACCGTGTAGCCACTGGTGGAAGTAAAAAAACTAAAACTACAACACACAACAAAAAAAAACGGAACTCGAGACTTTACACGCAAGATGTTTCGCGACCTCTCTTCGGGGGGAACTCTCCCGACGGGAAGAAAAGTCGACGCGCAGTGAAGAGGGAGAAGAAAAATACAACAGCAGCAGCAACAACAACATCAACAAAAAAACCGGGGCACGCGTTGTGAACGGGGAAAAAAAAAATTAAATAAAATTTAAATAAACGCAAAAAAATTTAAAAAGAAGATCCCAAGAGAAAAAGACTGAAAAGGAAAATATTGGCGGGGCGTGGCGAGCGCGACCGCCTGTCGCAGGGTTGACTGCTAACGCGTCGTCCAGCTGATTAACCACAAAAAAAATATAACCAATAACAAAGCGCTATATACTTTTTTTGGGGGGGGGGGGGGGGTGGGGGGACCAGGTCCGCGTTTAAAAACACGAGGTTGTTACGAGCCCAACGGGACACCCGGCGCTTCCAGAGTTCCGCGGGGTGAAATGGGGAAAGCAAGAGCGGGCGAACGCCCCCGCTGGGGATGCCACTGATTATTATTTTTTTAACACCCCCACCCCACCCCACGTCACGCGACGGTCAACCTTCACGCTCGCGGGGCAAACCGAAATAATTCCCCCCCCCCCCAAACTGCACGCAACGAAACGAGTGACAACGGGACGCCTCCCATCCCACACCCCACCCACTTCCCCGTGTCCCTCCGTGCTGTAGCGTCTGATCACCGCCGACCCAACGGCGGCACGTACGACGCTTTCTCGGCCTCGCCCGCTGACAGCCCGGTGACGGAACGGACGCGTTTCTCAACTCTCTGCGGCGCCGCGTGGTGCGATTTTTGGTCGCTGAGCACGCAGGGACACGTGGGATAAGAGTCTCCGTGCCTTCCCGCTGTTTACGAGCGTCCGCGTACGTGGGTTAGTCTGAGAGCCCGTTCCGGAAGTTTCACTTTTGTCGGTAGCAGCGGAGGTGGCGTCACTTTAGCGGTTCAACTTTTCTTCGCGCGGCCAATTCCGCGATGGCCATTTCATTTCAAGCGTGCGAGGTGGGTTGTCGAGTTAATTTAACTCTCGTTAGCCTCTATAAATAACTCCGTATGGACTGAACTACAAGAGTGCTGCCACCTTAGCCAGTGCAAATTTCTACTCTGGCCCGTGACGCCGAATGATGTTGTCATTTCTGCGCGTTTTCCCAGCCTGCTTTCTGTCGCGTTTATTTTTCCCGGCACGGGGCGTCCTTCCTCTGCAAAGTCCAGTTGCGTTCGAGCGCACGTTTCCCTGCAACGCCTTTGGTGGGGCAGGTGGGGGGACCGTACGTCAATTCGCCCGTGCGTCAATTCGCCCGTGCGTCAATTCGCCCGTGCGTCAATTCGCCCGTGCGTCAATTCGCCCGTGCGTCAATTCGCCCGTGCGTCCGTTTTGCGGCGGTGCCGTCGTCTCGCCAGCGTCGCCGGCAGCATCCACCGCCTGCCCCGTGGCCGCGGTTTGAGTGCCGTTTTTAAGGGATGCATACAAATTGACTCTCATCTGTGCAATTTTGAAACTCTTTTGAATCTTTAGTTTGCACTTGTTTTTTTGAGTTGGGAGGTCGAATCCCAACATAGTGTTTTTCCCCATTATCCCCTTCCCAATCCCCCACAACCTTCCCTTTCATTTGTTATTGTCGCTTGTTGTTGTTTATTTTTTCCTCGCGCAATTGTTCTCTTAGGTAATTTACGCAAGTGCTTTCGTTGAACGTGTACGGTACGCCGGTGGTTTTTTTTGAGTAGCTGAGAGACTCTGAAGCCGTAACTGGAGGGTGAGGGGGAAGGCCGAGTTTGGATTTATCCATGCCCCCATTTTTTTTCCCCCCCGTTGGCACATTTCGGAGCCGTGCCGGGAGCCAGGCTTATGCCACTCGGGAGAGGCTCCAGACTGCGTCCCGAGCCCCAGTTCAAATATCACGACGGTGCATGCACGTATCGCAGTTTGGTTTCCGGGCTCAGCTTTGCCAATAACCATTCGTGCTGGCTTGGCTCTGATGTTCCAGTGGGGGGGGGGGGGGGGGGGGGGTGAGGGGGAAGAGGGATCAAGGTGTGTGGCAGAGAATGAGACTAAAATGAAGGTGACAATTTTTAAGAAACAACAAAGTTAGCCATGGAATTGTTTAAAGTTTTTCCAATCCCCACGTGGTTGGGTAAATGAGTGGACAGCCATTGCCAAACCTCGCCTAGAGCTCCATCCCTCGAAATTATAGAATCCAGTTAAAAAGTCTTACTCCCTCACGCGCTCACCCCCAGAAGTGTTCAGATCCTTCCATTGTTGGGGGGAGGGAAAGATCAATTGCAATCCATTGTACTTTTTTTGCGAGTGATATTTACCGTGCAATTTAGCGTTAAGACGAAAAAAAAAAGCCCTACATAGATACAGCATAAATATATGTTTACAAAACAAAATCGCGTCCAGGTTCCGTCATTCGGGAGTAAAACATGGCCCAGAAGATGATAACGATGACGACGATAATGATGGTGGTGGTGATGCCCATGATTTCTTGTGAGTAGGGACGAAAATTGTGAGAAAATATTATTGGCGGGAGCGCGCGGTGCATCTTGGGAAGAGACGATGGTTGCAGTGCACCGCTGCTGGATGGTTCTGTCAACGCTGTCAAAACAAAAAAAAGCATCGCGGGGTCAAACGTCGGGGATGTAACGATGCACCGATTTGGTCGCTTTTTTTTGTAACGTGTTTTTTTTTCTAGTTCGCAAATTCGTGCGTGCGTGGGAACCTGATGTAGCCCCCCCTCCCCTCCCCGCCGCCGCCCCGAACTCGTCGCCACTGTACGTAATTGGGCTTTGCGTGACCCCTGCCCAGCCACTTGTGGCCCACTACAAGACTGAAGATGTTAAGGACTTGAGCGAATCGCGGTTTCTGACCGGTGGTGGTGGTGGCACCGGTGGTGGTGGCACCGGTGGTGGCGGCACCGGCGTTTGGTGGCGGCACCGGCGTTTGGTGGCGGCACGGGCGGTGGCACCGAGTACTGGTGGTGTGCTACTCGTAAACTTGCCATGCGGAGCACTTGAGGTGCTACGATATTTTTGGGCATTATGTTGATGATGTTCTTTTAGATTTTATTTTAAACTTTGCCTAAGGTGGGTGTTTATTTTTAAAATACATATATACGGGGAGGAAAAAAAATTATAGAGGGAGGGGCAAAAGAAATATTCGTGCTGCCGAGGGTCGGACAAATAAGCGCTCTATATTGTAGAATATATTCCAGACACTGAAGAGAGAGAGAGGGGAAGGAAAAAAAGCAGGAATAATAAATATATAAATATATAGACCGAAAAAAATATACGAGCGCGTTCGTTTTTGAGTTGACGGATTGCAGAGAAGAAAATTTTACGGGGCCATCGATTCGCTCGCGTGCCTCGCGATGGCGAATGACGAAGGTGACCATCGATTGCGATGATTCACGATGGCGGCAGGGTGGGGGGTGAATGAGGGGGGAGGGGTGACAGCGAATCTCGCGATGGGTGACGTCCGATGGTCGAGGACCCCCCGCCCCCCTCACCCCAACAACCCCCTGCCCCCCTCACCCCAACAACCCCCTGCCCCCCTCACCCCCTCACCCCAACAACCCCCTGCCCCCCTCACCCCAACAACCCCCTGCCCCCCTCACCCCAACAACCCCCTGCCCCCCTCACCCCCTCACCCCAACAACCCCCTGCCCCCCTCACCCCAACAACCCCCTGCCCCCCTCACCCCCTCACCCCAACAACCCCCTCACCCCAACAACCCTCTCACCCCCACGACCCCCTCACCCCCACGACCCCCTCACCCCCACGACCCCCCTCACCCCCCTCACCCCCCTCACCCCCCTCGGACGCGCGTGCGTGCGTTTATTTTCAAACGGCGATTTGTAGCAAAAAGTGTTTCCACGAGCGAAGAATTGCGTGGGCGGAGATGAGTGTGGCGCTCACGCTTTCACCCTCGCTCTGATCGCGTCGGGGCAACCCCCCCACACCCCCCCCCACACACCTCCCCCCCACACACCCCCCCCCACACACCCCCCTCCCACACACCCCCCTCCCACACACCCCCCCCACACACACCCCCCCCACACCCCCCTCCACACTTCTTATCTCAGTCTTTTGGCGATTCTCAGTGCATGCGAAGTGATGATGACCATGACGGTGTCTGTGACTGCGTGTGTGTTTGTCAACGCGTGCGTGTGTGTGCGGGGAGCGGTGGTGCAGCGGTTAGCGCTACGCTGCGCTACGAACCTGGCCACCCGAGTTCGATTCCCGCTCACGGCGAACACCGGTGACGATAATCTGAACCGGTCCTGAGCCTCCCCTAGGTCGACTCGGCCTCAAATGAGTGCCTGGTGCGATGCATAAACATCGCCACTGGGGAGACAAAGGCGGTCGGCCGTAGTGTTGGCCACCCACCCCCTCGTGTGCCGTGCCGCTCTTTATAGGTGCTCGCTAACAGCACTTGCCCCTCCAGTCTGTTAAGGCTATGTGGGGGATATTTGTCTTTTTTTTGTGCGGGGTGCGTGCCTCGTGCCGCTCGCTGTCTCTCCGTCCGCTTCCTCCCCCAGACCTCCTCGTCCACAAACCGGTTCACACAACGGCGAGGGATGATGTCGAGTTTCGATCGTAAAGACACTCAAAAAAAAAGAAATATATTTTGTAATATCAAGACTTTGCCTCGGAGACATTTAGTGAAACGTGTAGCGGATTTCATCGTTCTCTCGCCACCCCCCGTTGGTCCAAAAGTTGTTGAGGACGTGAAGAAAGATCTGTTCTAAAGTATGAAAACAAAAATCGGAAGTTTTTTTTTTACTCTTTTCTGGCGATAAAACGGCTGTTAAGATGTTCAAACCACCCATTTGCAAGGCATCGACATCTCAACGCGTGTTTTTATTGCCAAAAAGGGGTGTAAAAAAACAAAACCTTCGCTTGTTATTATTTATTTTCATACTTTTGATACTGGCAACAACAACAAAAAAAAGTGTAAATTTTTTAAAGATCGGGCCCTCCCCGCGGAGTTTGTGCGCGGCTGCCCCCCCCCCAACCCGCTCCATTTGCCACCGGGGACCTGTTAACGTAGTGAACCCTCAGTGCCTCCGTTCAATGCACTGGCTTTGCTTTTACGAATTTATTCCCACCACCACCGTTCCTCACCCTCCTCTCCGTACACTCCTCCTGAAGACCGATGGAAAAAAACATGTACGTCGAATTTCTTTGGCGCCGTACGTTAGCCAACCGCGCTTATCGGATGTGCGGGGGTTACGGACAACAAACTGGACACGAAAAAAAACTAATTTCTTTAATTTGCAATCTACATGATGAGTTAAGAGTGCATTATAGCTCCAGTCGCTTCCTAATATCGGAAGGGAAGAGCGTTCCAGACGGCCGCCGCAGAAGCGCGTCTGAAAGCAGCGTGCGGTGACGACCGTCTGTGGTTCGGCCTGGCAGGGCCCCCCACCTCTCCACCAGCCTGCCCCCCCCCTCCCCCACCAGCCTGCCCCCCACTGAAAGCTGTGAACAGCCGCCACCTTGATTGGTCAACAGAGACGTCCACTCTTGTACGTTGTTCAGGCCCGTGAGTGTACAACGTTTGTGTTTTTTTTTGTGGAGTTACTCTATTTTTGTTTATTGTTGTTGTCTGAATGTAAGATTCTAAGGACCAAAGAAACGGCGCGCGAGTGGGGGAGGGGGGTGGGGGGGGAGCTGTCGTTTCCCGCATGGATTTTGTCAGGGGGGTCAGAGGGGTTGGGAAGGGGGGGGGGGGCGTTTAGGGGCTGGGGGCGGGGAGGGGGGCTATGTGTGTACGGTGTCTAAATTTTGTTGTATACATATACTGTAAGTGCCTGATCACATGACCATTTCATTAAACTCCTCTTTTGGGTCCACTTTAATATCGCCTGTCTCTTTTATTGGTGTTGGTATATTTAAAAGCGCGCGTTAACTCTGGCAACAGGGCTCTGCAACCCCAACAAAGCGAGAAGAACCCACGTCTTCTTTCGAATTCTGTAATAATCATAAAATATATTCTGTGGTTCTTTCGGTGAAGTCACGTAGATAGAAAAAATAACGATAAAATAATAACAAAAAAGTGAATAAAAATATCACGACGTTTCGAGCGCAACAGACCGCTTGTGTTGCGATTGAAACGCCGTGATATTTTTGTATTATTATTTTATCGTTCTTTTTTTTTCTCTGTACGTGACTTTACCGAAAGAACCACAGAATATGAATTCCTGCAGTCACCAAAGTTTTAAGTCAACATATTTTTTTTTTAAACCTTCAATATTTAAAGAGCCGCGATGCGGTGAATCAGTCTCGAGGGTGGTGGTGTGCCCTTTTTTTATTATCAATAACGACTCGCGAAGCGGCAGTCGTTCAAGAGTCTCAGGTTACCGCCGCCTGTGGATATTTGCCACTCCCCCGTGTACAGCATCTCCCTGCTACTGCACTTCCAGATGGCAATCTCTCCGGGTAAGCGGTCGAAGGATGCCGTGGCTACTACGTACGGTGCGAAAGAAGTCCCACGTGTGTTCTCCTGTTCTGCATGACTTGTGCGGTTTTTTTTTCCCTGCCACAGCTGACGAAACAAAAATCAAACCACGCAATGGAACCGGTGTTGGCCAAACAGCCCAATGCCGAAAGATTACACTGCAAATTAAGCGATTAACAGTACACACAACATCAACATCACCGCCTGACTGCAAAACAACTTAGCAGGTACCTTTTTAAAACGAGTTGAGACTCGGCGAGGCTTTCCTGGGTAAACAAGCACGAAGCTATTAATAACGATAAAAATAATATTGTTCTGTTTATAAATGTTCAAAATTGTGCCAGCGTTTTCTCGAGGCTGTTTTTGTCTGTGTGCGTGCGTGTGTGTGTGTGCTTGTGGGGAGCGGTAGTGTAGCGGTTAGCCCGCTGCGCTATGAACCCGAGCCCCGGGTTTGTTTCCCGCTCACGGCCAACACCAGTGACGATTATCTGAACCGGTCCTGGGCCTCTCTACTCGGCCTCAAGTGAGCACCTGGTGCGGTGTGTAAACACCGCCGCTTGGGAGATAAAGGCGGCCGGGCGTGGTGTTGGCCACCCACCCGCTGGTGTGCCGTTCTGGCCTTTATAAGGTTCTCGCTAACGGCACTTGACCCCTCAAGTCTGTTAAGGCTACACGGGGGGGGATCTTTGTGCGTATGTCTTCCTCCGCTTTGTCCATTCCAGGATGATTTCCTTCTACGGCAGAGATCTCTGGGCGGAGAGATAAAATGAAAACCACATTGCGCCTCCGCATCTGTGGCGGCGGCGAGCTGAGCCGTGCCGTTTTTGCAGCTGCGCATAACGAAGAGCGTCCAAACGAATGCCACAGCCCAGAGCCACGCATCCGAGATAGCTGGAGAAGAAGGGGCCAAAGGCAGGATGAGCGAGCGCGTGACTGCTGGGACTCAACAGCTGGGGCCGTAATGACGCTTCGTGTGCAGTCGTCAGTCATCCGGCTGTTCGTACAATAGATTTTGTTGTTGTTGTTGTTGTGTTAGATTGCGTAAATGTAAATGTGCCGTTAAACCCGCCAGCACCCGACACAGCCAATTCGTAAGGTTTGTTACGTCAACAGGACGTGCCAATTCGTTGGTCGTTCAGCAACACCGGTTGTGCGTTGGGAGAGCAAATCCGCTACATGTACAATCTGAGTATACGACGTTTCGCCAGTAATTACAACCGGCATCATCAGGTGGACAGCCGAGATTTGTGGAGAAATCCTCCCGTCTCGTTCCCTGAAATGGAGGGATCGATGCGATGGCGTCACTTGTGAGCCCTTCACGTGCGAAGGGGGGAGGGGGGGTTCATGTATGGCATATTAATAACAATGGGCATCGATTCCAATGAGTATCCACCAGGCTGTTTTTAATGCACGCACGTGCACAACCAGGCATCGCTGTCCAGGGCGGTGTTTCTCGTCGGTCGGCAACAAAAACCGGGACGTGCGGGCGATGCCAGATGCCGCCGCTTCGATGTTGAATCTCGGCAGGCGCTAAGCCGCCCATCTCTTTGTCAACGTCATCTCATTGGGAGATTGTGGGGAATTTAATTGGGGAGGGCGGCGGGCGCGGGAAACGCACGGGGCGGATCGCTCCATAAATAATCGCGGCTTCGGCTCGCAACCGTGGCAATTCCACATGCCCATGGCACGGGTGAGTCTCTCCCTTAGGACCATCTGCTGTCGACTTCCCCGGCAAAGTAGTGCTCGGTGTGTCGACCCTACGAAGGAATGATGGGTT